CTGTATATTATGTTACTTGTTCTCTCCCATTAAGGGGGAAGGGGTAGAGAGGAGGGAAACATTTTGTATCTCACTATACCTATTTGCAGTAGTGCTGTCCTAGTTCTCAGAACTAGAAAACTACAACGTGAAAACCCAGAGCTTCAAGTCATGTACTAGAAAATGAAAAATGTGCAAGGATATGACTGTATGCTAAGGCTTTTGATTTAGACTGTGTAGAACTTGGCTAAGGCCAAGACGAGAGCCAGCTTTCCAGGAAAGTATTTGGTTATATCAATTATGAGGTTCTTTTTTTTTTTTTTTTTTTTTTGTGTTTTGCTGTTTGTAGAGTAAGGGGGGTTGCATCTTCACACATCCTAGATCAGTCCACTCAGCAAGCAAGGCTTGGCACTGCGTTCATACCATAAAATTCAGAAAATTCAGGCACCCTAACATCAAGTTAGGGTTCTAAATTATTTCTCTAGTAAGTGATAACAAGATTTGTAACGTAAATGGTAAGTGATCAAAGGACGTAACTGCCTTTATGTATTAGAGGGAAACACATTTTTCAAACAACTTTCTCAATTGTCCCCACTTCCCATTTCTTGGCTTGCAGCATGGAGCCATCCCAAAGCACAGGCCCTAGATGTCTCTCCTTTATCTTTCCCTTTTATCCTTGCTCACTATTTTTTTGCTGTCCTTTCATTTTTCCCTATCCTTTTGTTTTTCATTCCCCATGGACATATAGATGTCAGGTTCTCATCATGAAAGTGTTTTGTAAATTGTAGCCTGAATCATGCTGAAGTCATTCTGTTATTGAGTTTAGAACTTGGGAATTGCTTAACTGAGTAAAGAATCTAAAATTGATGATGTGACTACCCCCAGGTATCAAAAGAGATTAGGACAAAGCTACAAAATTAACATTCATAGACAGCTTCAGTTACAGCATCTCCATGCTCATCGGGGCTTGAGGGTTTTTGTGTGTGTGTAATTATATAGTATATGCTTCACTGACATTTTGAAAACTCATTAGTAAGACCAAGATTATGTATGTTTTTATTCTTGGTAGTTTTGATTCCAATCTGTGATAGTTACATATCACCTAAGATCTATGTTAAAAGATTTTAGGCTGAAATAAGGGACATAAGTCCTTAAAGACTGGGAAAGCCTGATGAATGATAACTGGGGAAGCAAAGGCAAAGTATAATTTAAAAGGAGAGGAAATCAATATAAACTTGTGGAGAAGAATTAATGTAATCAAAGCAATTTCTGCACTATTAGTCACTGTTTCTCAAACTCTCTTTTTTTATTAATAGGGAGTCAAATTTCTTCATCTTTCTTTTTCAGAAGTCAGCCTTGCTAGGTAGAAAGGCTCAAATATATACCTATGCTATGCTGTATGCATAAGCTATAATTGACTCACTTGAACTGTTGTAGTTACTGGTCTTTAGTATCTTCAGATAATTAGGCTATTTAAAGGGAATCAAATAGCATAGGGTTAGTATAAAAGAAAACTTGAAAAATTTACATCATGTAAAATTGTTTAGGCAATTACCTTTTTTTTTTTTTCCTTTTCTCCCCCCTTTCCCCCCACCCACAGTAATTGTTAGTCTAATTTTCATCAACCTGGTGATGGCTTCCCAGAAAGAAACTTAATAAGTTATTGCAAATAGCAAAGGTGCAAAAATGCAAGGAAGTGGGTAAAATGATATTTTGGAACATTGATCAGAAGTATTGTAATTAAAGGTCAAGAACTTTCTGTCTATGGATAGTAGGACAACAACAGAGTCTTAAATACTAACAGGCCCTCTTAAAATCAGAGGGAGTATGTAAAGAAATACAGGTATGCAATGCGTGTATAAATAGGTATATATGACCTCTGAAAACATGGCAACAATATTCCTTCCTGTATGTTGTTAGCCCCTAGAGTTAGCAGATATCTGCAATATGTATGTGCACTGATACTTCTAATGTGAAAAATTTAGTTAGTTAACTTTAAAAATTAAAAATGGGAGATATTTCCAAGATTTTTTTTGTGAGGGGGAAAGGGTAAACTTGTACTTGCTTTTTATGGTGCCTTACAGAAAGACAATATTAACTACTTTTCCTTATTAATATTTTTACTTCACAGTTAACTGTACTGTTTAGTGAATATTTTTGTTCTATTATTGTAAGCATAAAGAACTGTTGTTTTCGTAAAAAGCTCTTATTATCAACTGATTTTTCACCTTCTCCAAATGCATCCGGATAATATCAATGTAGACATTTAAGATTAAAAAAACAAAACAAAACAAAAAACCTCAGCTTTTTCTGTGTGACTTTGAATCTTCTTAAACTTGTGTTCTATTGTCAGAAAGTCTAATGTACAGTTTAATCTGTCTGCAACAATGAGCTTTCAGTCTGTAGGAGTAAAACAATTCTTATTCCAGGAAGATACTGCTTGGTCTTGCTGTCAGTACATTCTGTGTAGCGCTTGAATGGCCCTATTGTCCTCTTGTGCACTCAAAATGAATGAATTTATCTTTCAAAGTGGAGCATTTCTTTCCCTCTCTACCAATTCCCACTTCTGCTTCTGCAGGAGAGAACCAGGCTTTTGCTCTTGAAAGTATATAACTCTGAACCTTGAAAATTAGCTTCCAGTGCCCTAGTCACTCACAAAGCCAAGTTTATGCCAAGTGCTGTACAGTTACCATGAAGAGTTTGTTTGGACCATTGCAGAAATAACCTTTCTGTCACCCACCTACAAAATCAATTAACTTACCACCACCTTCAGTTCTGAAAAGTATATTCCTCCTAATTTTTTAAAGTGCCTGGCATTCTTCACTCTGAAATTCAGTATTGTAAGTTCTTGCTTATTAAATTACAAGCATGAAAGTAGTTACTCTCTCTTCAGTGGGACTGGTCATACACTTTGGTTATCTGTACAGATTACTGAGGGTTGATGTTCCAGGTATTGATAAGGACTTCAAATTTAATTTATTTCATTTATAATGCTAAATTTTGAATTCAGTACAAAAAGTTTAGTGTCTGTCTTCAAATGGCAGCTGTTATAATAACAGGGAAAAGCTTGAAAAAGAGAAACTGAATGGGAATATATAACAGAGATTTTTAAAGATGGAATGGTATATGGAATATTTAGATAAGTAGCTGTCTATGTTTCCTGCAACACGAGCTGAAGTCATGAAATTAAATTCTTCATTGTCAGATTAAAATAAACATACATGTACAAAAGGAAGTATCTTTTTTGCACAGCTGATATTTAGGAAATTCAGGAACATAGGATGCTGTGGAGGTCTTAAAGCATGAACTTGCCTAAATTCCTTGGGGATGTGGCTGTCGATGGCTATTAAGTGCGATGTCTTGGCAGCAGCTGTTTGTTTGGGTACTTCCTGAGCTGGAAATCCCCAGATTGCTGGAAGCTTATTTGGGAAGATGAGAATGTACCTTTTCTTGGTTTACGTTCTTTTTATAACAGTTGCCAATAACAATTGCTTAAGGGGAAACTACTGCATGCACTAGATGAGCTTGTCATCAGGCTTAATGTGATAGTTCTCATGTTCAGTCTTCTTTTCTTCATTACCCTTCTTTTATCTTCACTAACCTCTAATCTGGACCTGAGAGTATATTTAACTCCTATTAAGTTTTCTGACAGTCCTTCAGCTGCCATTTAATACCAAAGAATACGGTGTACATTTATCCAAGTTCAAGCACGGTCTTATTATTGCCCTTTTAAAATCTGGCCTTTTTAGAGCAAATTATAGACAAATAATTGATGCATGCCTCCAATTTACCACTTATAAGTGCAAACCACCTAAGTGTAGAAAGTAGAAGGGTGTTTTTTTTGTTTTGTCTTGCTCATCCAATTTAATACACTGCTGCTAATAGAAGTCAGAATTTAGTAGTATCTTTCTATTTTCAGTCTTTTTACTATATATTTCATGCTTCTGTTAATAGTAACGTCTGACTTTGAGGATTTTTCATTATCACAGAACACCCTGTCAAGTTCATGCTGAAAATTATATTGCCCACTCCTTTTGCATAGAACTCATGTTTGAGGATGAATTCGGGACTGTGTAGGCTTCATGGAGATCTTTGATCTTTGCCAAAGCATATTTATCAGTATCAAAATCATTTATTAAAAAAAAAATGAGTGGAAAGGGGTGCTGAAGTTGAGGGAAAGGAATAAAAATGTGTAAGTTGCAGGGAATAAAAGAGAACTAATTAAAAAATAAAAATAATTATATGAATGGCTATGCTAGGAAGATATTTCAAGAAACGCAGTATAAACTTGTGAAGATGATCTCTGTTAGATGAGCATAAAATTAGTTTAAGAAAGAAATAATGATGGTATTCAAAATATGTTAGAAATAAACATATATGACTTAGTGATTCCAAAATGTCTATATTTGAGAGTGCCTCGTAAGACCACACTGAATCTGAATATTTTTTACAGGTTGTTGTATTTCAAGATTGCTTTTTATTTTAAGTATTTGTTTAATGGAAAAAATATTTTCTCAGTTCTCAAGTTTTTCAGCAAAAAAAATATTCAACATCTCTAGTAACTGGGCCACAAATAAATGGTTATTTTAGCTATAGGATTTTTCTCTAAAATATGTTTGACATGTTAAATTCATGTAATACATCAGCAGCACGAGCAGAAAAATGTTTAAGACCTAGAATTTTTATACATTTTGTTAAAACATTGTTTGAAAGCAGGCAAAACTGCTGTCAGTGAGGATTCAACTATATAAACATGATATAGCCCGTAAAGCATGATTTAAGCTAGATATACTTCTGTATTTGTGGATGTACATTTTAATATTTTAATGCAATGTGTTACTTTATCTTTTTCCCTTTATTAGTAGCTATAGTATGTGATTTTGAATTAGGAAGAGCTTGCTTGTTATTTCTAAAACTGTACTACTGAGCCTGGATTTTTGGACTACACTGATTTAATTGTTCTGAATATGTTTCTGATTCTTGAATAATTGAAAGCTCTAATTTTATTCTCTTCTTCTTAGGATTTTAAGTCAGGATTTGGTATCACTTTAATCCCGATGAATGTGGCAAATGTAAAACAAGTGGATCGGACTGCAAAACAGTCGTTTGAAATAATTACTCCCTATAAAAGCTTTAGGTGAGAACTTTAATGTTTACATTGAAAAAATGCACATGATGGTTTAACCTAGTTTAAAAAAAATAAAGGAATTCTTTTAAAAAGGATGCTAAGCGTCTTTTTAAATAAACAACAGAAAGATTTTCTTTCCTTCACTTAACTGTGCACTTCAGTAGTTATGTCCCTTACTAGATATCAAATGCCCACAGATTTGATATTTTTATGTAGCAGTCTTTGATTCTGTTCAAGGAAATAAATTACTGCAAACACCTTGTCTTAAAGAAATTGTAAAGTGCAATACTGGAAAAAAAAAATGCTGCATCCATTTAACAGTAAGCATTTCCTTCTAATATAAAAACAGCCAATTTTGTGCCATTCAGTATAAAAACTTTCCAGTGCAGTCAGTAGGAAGTTCCAGTTTAGCTTAATCTGCAACCTTAAATGATTTTAAAGAAAACCAAAATAAAAGTGTATGTTAATAAAGATATGAAAGCCAAAGTGCAGCCGTGTTTCCCAAATTAAATCTCAGTAATACAGGAAGGAAAGAAATCCCTTTTTTCTCCTTGGATTGCTAAATGTTAACCTCAAGATAGGGGACTGAAAAGCAAACAATTCTCAGCAAGTAAATCAGGCTTGATCAGTGATTTGAGTCTGTGGTTGGCTGGTAGATAGCAAGTTCTTTGACTTTCTTTAAGCCATCACCATGGTTTTTACAAAAAGATCAATTTAAATAAAAAGCATGTTTTGATTATTAAATGTAAGAAGCCTATTTTTACTGCTTATTAAGTCCCCATGCTTCCTTAAGTTAATCTATGCTGCTGTTAAAGTAGAAGGTTAAGGTTTGTTATGTGTTGACATAAGAATGCTGAAAGTAACTCAGGACCATAACATGAAAGTTGCCAACTCTATGTAGCTCATGCTAGTAGTGGTTTTGTTGAAAACTGAATATGCAGAATGAGTTGTTTTTCCCTGAATAACAATACAAAAAAAAAATCCCCTCAGTATTCAAATCTGTGTAGAGGAAGATTTTTTTTGACTTGATTCCACATACAGACGCGAATAAATAAGAGCAACTACAGACTCTATTTAATTGGGTTTTAAAATAAAGATCAATAATGCAAAGAAGTCAATTGTTTCAGCTTTACAGCAGAGTCGGAAAGAGAGAAACAAGACTGGATTGAAGCACTGCAGCAATCGATAGCAGAAACTCTGTCTGATTATGAAGTAGCTGAGAAGATTTGGTTCAATGAGTCAAACAGGAGCTGTGCTGACTGCAAAGCTCCCAATCCTGACTGGGCATCCATCAATCTCTGTGTTGTCATTTGTAAGAAGTGTGCAGGTACAGTAATTAATGATGGGCCATGTGGATTCTACAAAATGTCATATTTGCATGGCTTGGCATGTCCTTGAGTTGTTTTTTTTTTATTATTTTTACAGTGCCATCCTTGTAAAAGTTTTGACAAACAAAAAATGAGCATAACTTTTTAATACCACTAACCTCATCCTTATTTTAAAGCACTTTCATACATAAATGACAAGCCTGCAAGGTGATTGGTGTCTTTCTGATGAATAATCCTTCACATCAGTGGAAATGAAGGCACTATAGCACTTCTTCGGAAATAGCTGTTTTTTGCCAAGGCTGGTTTCCAAAGAAGAATAACAATTTTCAGTGGACGAAGTAACATAAATATTTGAGGTGTTAATTTGACGACATCAGGCCTTTTTTCAACTGCTAACAGGGATATCTTTTTTTATAGCGTTTTGGTTTGTTTGTTTGTTTCATGCGTTAATGTCTTAAGCAGTAAACGGAGCAAAATGGTTCTTTAGGTCCTTTATTTTCAAAACAAACCCTTAAAAGAATGCTTTACATCAGGCAACCTCCTTTGTTGCCTTCTTTACTATCTTTACTATTCTTTACTATCAAACATGAAGATTTCCATGGTATTGGTAGAACCTGAAGAGGACTTTATTTCTGCTCCCCACATTCTACAACCTACATCCTGCGTGCATGTGTGTGTGTGTGTGTGTGTGTGGAGTAGTACTTTTATTGTCTATTCTAACATCAAACAAAATACCTTAAAAAACCAAAAACTATGTCTTCATTAAAGTTGTAGTTTTGTTATCTGACTAGTAGAGAAACTCAGTTTAAGTGCTTTACTTAAAAGTATATATATTTTTCTGGTTTCCAGGACAACATAGGTCTCTAGGACCAAGGGATTCAAAGGTCCGGAGCCTAAAGATGGATGCCAGCATTTGGAGTAATGAACTTATTGAGGTATTTTGTAATATTTTAGCTCTTTGTTATGACTTGAAAGTTTGAACATGTATAGAAATTATTTATTCATTTTATTTTCAAGAAAACCAAAAATATAGATGCTAAATTCTAATAAACTTGACTTCTAATTAAATTCTAATAAAATCTAATAAACTTTCTGGGAGTGCTGTATCTCTGAGACTTCTCAAAACAATTGAATATTTTGAATGAATCTGTAGCATTTTCTCTTACCATTTGAAGCGTGTAGTTTGGGAAGGAAAAAGGAAAATGGCTGCTCTGGAGAGCAATCATGGTAGGCAGGATTGGGGAAGGGGAATGACTCCTCAGCAGAAGGTTACTTGCCCTGGTGTATTTAGAAGTGATGCTGATAGACAGAGTTGAGTCGTTTCAGTGTTAGCCTTGGTTAACCTTGTAAAGCTTAGTTGCTATTGCTGGACGTCATGACTATAGAACTGCAAACACATTTGTTATTCATTTAAATGGCACCATAAGCCATGACTTCAGGATTGCCTCTGCTGCAGTCTTTCAGTCTCTCTCTTGCATTCTTCTCTTCATGTATATATACATATGTGTATATATATATATGGTCATATTCTTTCTTTCTAAGAATTTTTTTTTAGACACTAGCTTGATATCTTTCATGCTGCTTGTTTATTTGCTTTTTTAATGCTTTTTCTTATACTTTCCTCAGCTCTTTATCATCATTGGAAATAAGAGGGCAAACAGCTTTTGGGCAGGAAGTCTTTCTCCAGATGAAGAACTGCACATGGATGCCTCTGCAGAAAAAAGGATAGCATTCATTACAAAAAAATACAAGGAGGGCTGTGATTTCTAAGTGACAGCTATTCAACTTAGGTCCAGTCTCAGGCACTAGACCTCGTGTTAAAGCCCTCAGATATAATAAGTATAAAAGGCTCCAAGTTTTAATTCGGTATTAGGTAAACATTGGGAGAAGAATGATTTAACTGTAGAGTAATCTTGTGATGGTTTGCAAATAATGTTTAGATACCTTGAAAAGCTTGTAGACAAGACATCCTGTCTTTGAGTTTTGAATCTTGAGTTTTCATGTGGGGATCTTAAGTTTTATAATAGTTTTGATGTCCAGTTCACTGACTGTGTTATCTACTGAATTCAGAGACATGATTGTTAAGAGTTCATGAACAATGACGATTTAAGGTGCATATATTCAGTGCACTCAATGACATAGGGATCAAATTGACTGAAAGTATATCCAGAGACTGTAAGGAGATGTTAGTCCTAAAAGTTGATTGTTCTCCTCTGTACTAGAGATTTCATTCATTCAGTGATATTTGTATCAAAAATTGAAGTGTCATAGTTACATACAGGTAGAAAGTGAAAACAAGGGCACATGAAAACATTGCTACCTTTAAAACACTTCTAGCCAAAGCAGGGGACTACCTCTTCATATTGCTTGAATTTAAGTTTGCTGGATTTCACTGGAATGAGGAGACCTTAGGAGATCTTAGGTTTCATGGGAAGCTCTTTACATTTTTGCAATATAAAACATGGATTTATATATATATATTTATTGGTGATAGCTGTTCAACAGCTTTCTTGTTATTGTTTCTAATTTAACCTGTTTAACCTGCTGATCAGATAAAATTGAATACTTTGCTGTGTTTTGGCATCTTGATTTTTCTATATTTTTATTTTTTT